ATCTCTGGTATATGGGGCCAGTGCCCTACTTCTTTGAGCCACAGGCACCACCCCTTTGTCCTCTTATTTATCTGAACTTTACCTTTTAAGAAAATAATGTCTTCAGATCTCCATTCTTGTTTTTGTGTACTTGCTGAATCAGAAATAAACTACTTGTGAACTGTGGCTGCTGGAACAGTTTGCTGTGCCCTGGAGTGGTACATCGGCTATAGTGTGCGCCAGCCTCACCTGTGGTTCTCCTGGAAAAGAGATCCCCACCTTGTGACTCTGGGATGGGGCCCAAGACTGATTTCTGAACACCTTCAGGTGATGTCAGTCATGGCTGCTGCTCCATGGATCACACTTAAGTAGAAAGGCCATAGGGAAATGGTTCCCCAAATTTTCTGCATATTGGAAACTCCTAGGGAGTTTTAAAACCTACTGATGCTGAATCCACTGCCAGGGGATCTGATTTAAGTGGTCCACGATAGGTCCTGGGCTTTGGACGCTTTAAAAGACCCCCTAGGTGGATTTAATGTCTGACAAAATTGAGAACCAATGCCACAGAGCTTGTAATTATAGTTCTTCTATTGGACTCAATTATTTATTTATCTGAGATGAGGATCTCACTATGCTTCCCAGGCTGGGCTGGAACTCCTGGGCTCAATGAGCCTCCTGCCGTAGCCTTCCAAGTAGCTGGGACCATATGCACATCGCTGTGCCTGGCTCTGGACTCAAATATTTAATTAAAAAGTTATTTGAAGGAATAGATGTCAACCATTGCCTTTTATTTTAATCTTAGTTTTATTTTAGTTACAAACTAAATTAACTTAGAACCAAAACTCCTGTGGAGGCTTGCACAAATACACAAATCTGCCCCAAATCAAGAAGCTGACGTTGCCTATACTGATAGTAAGACGTCTTCATTTTTGATTTTTCTGTGGCTTTATATCACTCCATTTTTGATCACCATTATGTTTTTTCCCTTTAATATTACAGCTGTTTTCCCCTTATGGGGTGTAGGAGTTTCTCTTTCGTGTTAACTTTGGCCGGTGTGATGACTATTTGTTGTGGTCATTGCCTCTTGGCCATGAATCTTCAGGAGTCTGTGGAGCTTCTAGCACATGGAAGTCCAGATTGCTAGCAAGGCCTGGGACATTCTCTTCTAATAGTCCCTTAAATAGGTTTTCCAGCCCTTGTGTATTTTCTTCTTCGGGATGCCTACGATTCTTAGGCTTCTTTACATAATCCTGTTTCTCACAGGATTGGTTTGTTCCTCTCATTTCTCTGCTCTTTCTCTTTGACTGACTTGTTTAATTCTAAGATGTTATCTTCAAGCTCTGGAATTTTTTCTTCTGCCTGATCTAGCCTATTCTTAAGGTTTTCCGATGTGTTCCGTATTTCCTTGAATGACGTTTTTATTTCCTGAAGCTCTTGCTTGATTTCTTTATTTTAATAATTCAGTTTCTTTAGTGACATTTAAAAATCATTTCCTGCATTGTTTTTGTGGTTTGTTTTAGATTTCTATTTTATCTTTTATTTCATTGAAATAAAAAAAGATAATAAAAAATAAAATACATATAAAAATTATAGTTGTTACCAGGGTAGGATTCTTTCATGAACATAAGCTGAGCCACACCGGGTTGTTAGGAATTGTGTTTGCAGAGCTGTTTTGATTCCCCTTTTGCTGTCCCACTGGCCTTGCCCTAAGTCCCAGGGAAATCAGTCATGGTAACAGTGTAACCCTTACCCTGGGAAAGAATTTCTTAGAATTTCTTCCATTCACACCCCTACCTTCTCCTCCACCAAAGACCCCACAAATGAACAAAACCACACCATGTGCCCCATCTTTAAGGTACTGGAATTTTGGAGAATTAAGAGCAAATACATTAACTTTAAAGGAGTATGTATCATGGACCAGACTGCCCATGAGGTGTTGCCACCCACACGAACTCCATGTGGCTCTGAGAGAGAATGACTTAGGCTCTCCAGTGTTTTCAATACATTATCTCATTTAATCTTTCCAATGACGCTGTGAGGCAGCTGGTCATGTCTGATTTTACAAATAAATACACTGAAGCATGGAAAGCTTAAGTAATTTACTTAACTTTTGCTAGAAAGTAGCAGAACTGAGATTGAACCCCGTATCTGAGACTCCAAAGCCTGTACCTTTCCAGTAAGTCAGACTTATGTGCTAGGCCCCATCCTCTTGAGCAGCTCTGCTTCCTTTTTATTTAGTATTTCTTTCTTTTTGTTGTTGTTGTTGAGACAGTCTTGTTCTAGCGCTCTGGCTAGAGTGCAGTAGCCTCATCATAGCTCACTGCAGCCTTAAACTTCTGGGCTCAAGCAGTCCTCCTGCCTTGGCTCATTTAAGATTTCTGAGTCTTATACCACTAGCCAGAGAGAGCCTGCATTTCCTAGAGAGCAGGGACCTTTGCACGTTTTCTGTATTTGTTAGAGTGGTTTTGCTCTTAGTAGGTGAAAAATGTTAATTTGATTTGATGGGTATTTCCTTCAAGCTCTGGGTTCCAACAAGAGTCAGAGCAGTATCATCATAACTTTAAGGTCTCTTACCAAACCTAATATAACTACCTAGAGGGCATGGTATCGGCTCTAGCCCTGGCTGAGGTGTAGTTAGATAGCATCATGCTATGGCACGAGAATGAAAGGTATCGGTGAAAAAGCATCAATTCCAAGTAACCCATTCACGATTAGTTTATTTCTAGTCTATTATTACTATATAGGAGAAAAAAGTGAATGTTAAAAATTCCATTTATTCACCCTAAATTTATTTCATGATATGTATTTTTAAATAGCTGTCATTTATAATGTATAAATTTGATATTCTGATTTTTTACCAAATACTATTTCATTTGTACATTTCTATTTCTTCACATGGTTTACAAATTTCTATGATGCTACGTCTTCTTGTTGCTATACTGTAATTAACTTAACCAAAGTTGTTTCTAAATTATTTTTTAGTATTTAGTATATAATGTTTTAGCATTTTAAGTATTTTAATACTTAATGCATTGCTGAAATAATCTTAATAAATTTGGGGAGTGGAAGCACTGTTTTTAAAGGGCATAAGAAGATAAGAATAGTGTTTATTATATAATTGTTTGGTAGTTTTCTAGTAAATGATT